GTTTGCGCAGGTACTAAAAATCATATCAAGAAATTGGCGTCGTTGCCGGGGATTGTTTTTATCATATTCTTAGTTGATTTTGTTTAAACTTTTTCTTATTTATTTTATTTTATTTACTTTAATTTATTTGTAATTTTCATCAAAAATAAAAAAATAAAAAAATTTGAACAAGTTTTGTTTCAGTTTCATATTCTGCAGACTTTATGGTCCAAACCAGATCAGGAACTGCACATATTGCATAATTTGATCCAAAACCAGAGTGCACCCTGCGCAAACAGAGAAGAGAAGTTAATTGGGCCTGGGACTGTTCACTGCAGGGCACTTTTCTGCAAAATTTGTTTGTAGAGGAGCGCAACATGGCGTTAGAATTACCTGCAGCAAGCAGACCACTCAGAGAGTCATTTGCAGCCCGTGCCACTGATGTTCCTAATTGCATAGTCTATCCGACCCATGAAGAGGGTGATTCGTTCGAGATCAAGCACCACATGCTTGAGATTTTACTAACATTCCTTGGGCTGCCTAATGAAGATGCAAACATACATATTGCAAAATTTATTGTGGGTTGCAAGAATATTTTGATTAGGGGTTTTTCTGCTGAAGCTATCAAGTTACGTCTTTTCCCTTTCACTTTGAAGGATAAGGCAGAAACTTGGTTATTCACTCTACCAGCAAATAGCATTACTACTTAGCAGCAGTTACATACAAAATTCCTGAACAAATATTATCCAGCATCCAAGACATTGAATTACAAGAGGGAGATTTTGACATTCACACAGAAGCCTAATGAAGAGTTTCATGAAGCATGAGAGAGATATACAGAGATGTACATAAAGTGTCCACATGTTAATATTGATGCAGATACACAGATGAATATTTCCTTTGACGGGCTTAATCCGACATCTAAGAGCCGTGTTAATGCATCAGCTGGAGGATCGTGAATAAATATGCAAGAGAAGCATTTGAATTATTTGATATGATGGCTACATAATCTCACAACAATGGGCAGCAGAACATTCACAGAAAAGGGGAATTTTTGAGTTATCAGCAGGATCTCCTAACATGTCTGCACAAATGGCACAAATGGAGAAGAAAATTGATGCAAAGTTTGACATTATTTTACAACAGATAGCAAGTTCTACACAGCAGCCTCCTGCAACAACAGTTTGCACTATCTACAGCATGGCTACACACAACATAATGGCTGCCTGCATAGAGAATCCTACCCAGAGCTTGTTGAGCAACATGTCAATATGATGAACAACTATCAAAGGCCAAGGAATGATGCATATGCCAATCATTACAATCCAGGATGGAGGGATCATCCTAATTTCAAATGGGGTGACAATCAGAATAATGCAAAACCATTCCAACATGCAGAAACACCTTTTGTTCCCTCCAAACCATCTCTGGATGATCAACTAGCTAAATTGGCAGCAACAACTCAATCATTCATCGAGGGTAACAATCACAGATTTCAAAATGTTGAAGCATCAATTAAAAATTTGGAGCAACAATTTGGCTAGCTAGCTGCACAGATTTCAGACAGAGACAAAGGTAAATTTCCTAGTCAAACAATTCCTAATCCAATTGGACGTGAAGATTGCAACGTTGTTCGGACTTTACGTTGTGGAAAAGGCTATGACAATCGTGAAAATAGCATTGAGAATGAGCAGCAAGCAGTGGAGGATAATATAGAAAATTTTGCAGCAGCAGAACCTACCAAAACTGCAGAAAAACATAAACGGGCAGATCCAGAAACTATTCCAAAACAAGTTCCTAAGCGTGTTTATGAGGCCCCAATTCCATATCCATAACGTTTGAAGCCAAAAGCAAAAGATCAGCAACTCAATGACTTTATGCAGACATTATCCAAGGTTCAAATCAACATTCCAATACTGGATGCAATCAAAACCATCATACACCAAATTTTTGAAGGAAGTTTGCAGCAGCAAAAAGAAGCTTTCAGATTTGGACAAAGTCATTTTGACAGAACAGTGCAGGTTCTCTGTCCAGTGCATAGCCATTGAGAACAACCCTCTGTTAAAGTTAAGACTTTTCGGGATTTCTCTTTCTAGACAAGCTTTCACCTATTATACAAGTCTGCCAGCCAATTCTGTTCAGAATTGGGAGAAAATGGAAAGTGTTTTCTATGACTATTATTACAGGATTTAGCCAGAAGTCACTATCAGTGACCTTGCTGCCCTCAAGCAGAGTGAGGATGAACCTGCTCAATATTTCATAACCAGGTTCAAAAAGCTCAAAATGAAGTGTCGGATCCCTATGGAAGAAAGACACTTCATCCAGATGGCTCAGGCTGCCCTTAAAATCTCTCTGCCACCATTCAGTCACAACAGATCATTTTCCCCAACCACAAGTCAACATGGTCAACGTAAATTGGCCAGAACAAAAGAGGAGCAGGCCAACGGAAGCTAGATCTAGCCGAAGCATAATAGTCTTAAGAGAAACTATTGAAAGACCAAAAGCAACTATCTCAAAGGCCAACGAAAGCTAGATCTAGCCGAAGCATAATGGTCTTAAGAGAAACTATTGAAAGACCAAAAGCAACTATCTCAGCTGGGGTAGTGCTCTGCAGCAAGTGCAAGTGTGAAGCTGAGCTAGAAGTGGTCCTGGACAGACAGAACCAGCCCATTCCGAGTGTTTTTGACAAGATTGGAACCTCATCCCGAGATAGAGCCGGGCAGAAAGACTATCCCACGCCTGCCGAGCGCAACAAGAGGATGACAGAGCAACCCAAGAAGGAAATACCAAGCAAGATGCCCGAGAATGAGAAACCTTTGGCAGCTATCATAGAAGGCAGGTGGTATTCTGTCGGAAAAAGTGGCAGACCAACTATGGAGTTAACCAGAACTCAGAAAATGAGGATTCAAAGGCAGTACTGCACATCCCTCAATAACAAAAGGGAGACTCTGCCGAATTTTCGGTAGAAAGTCTCGTATCCTTATCCATTTTTGGGAAAAGAGGATGTAGTTTCCAGAAGTGGGCCCAACATCGGGGTGATGTCGGGAATTCCACAAGGTTCGTCTCAGGTTCTGGGAAATTAAGGGCAGGTCCTGTCACCCACCACTAGCACAGATCAAATTAAAATGACACAGATTTGATTAGAGCCTATTTTTCAAGAAACCACTTGACCACCAGAAAAAGAAAAGTCAACAATTTCAACTATCACAAAGTTGATTGGGAGCCCATTTGCCAGAATTGATAAAACCCCATTTCTTTACATTTGAAAAATGAAAGATCTTTTTTGGGAAATTACCGCCCATTATTTAAAAGAAAGAAACCCTACTCCACAGCATTTCTTATAAAAACAAGAGGGAGTGAACAGGGCAAAGGACAATCAATCTTACACTCAATTCATCAATCAAACAAACAACAAGAAATCAACCAAAAAGCTCTCTCAAACTCCAAGAGAAGCCAGCTTTAGATCAAGAATCCCCAAAGTTCAGACTTAGAAAATAAGTCATTTAAAATGAGATCTCTCGTTACAAATTTGGTTCAGCAAAAGCCAAGACAGGCAGAGTTTGAGTTTTTCCCAAACATGAAAACCTCAACAAATTTCCCAACCGAGATCTCTCTCGTTACAAATTTGGTTCAGCAAAAGCCAAGACAGGCAGAGTTTGTGCGCATAAACTACTTCTAAAGGAGAGGCCAAGTGAAAGAAGAAACATAACATTCAACAAATAAGTACAAAGTCTTACTTGCAAAGACCTCTTCATGACATTAAACACACATATGTATGACAAACTTGTAGTTGAACATCAAAATATATATATCAGAGTACTGTTGAACTGATCACAGATGAAACAATTAATCGGAAAACAATCAAGATAAGTACAAACAGAAAAAATAAATAAATAAATCAGCCACACAGAAAATCTATAACCACACGCAAACTGAAAATATATAACATCTATTAGAATTATAATTCTGATCTGGAGTCATAAAAATAGAATTTTTTTTTTTAAAAAAGGAGTCGTCTATAACCACACGCAAACAGAATATCAACCACACAGACATCAATTACCAGATTGATGAGCAGACTGGGGGTTCCCATATTGATTACTACATTTCTTTTTCCTTAGATCTGCCTCCCTGTAAGAACAAACCAAACTCAATTTCTAATTTACTTCTCAATTTTCAACAGGACAAATGAATAAACCAACCTAGAAAACCAAAAAAACGTTAAAACCAACCTCTTTTTTTACGAAACCTAGAAATCCTTTGAGCTAAACCCGTGCGATGAGAAGAAGGATGAAGCGCAGCTGGAATGGCAACACACGAACGCAACATTTGAGAGGAAAACCTATGAGATAAAGACCAAAAGGGCAGTTGAAATTTTGGGATATGTTATGTTTACAGGGGAGACTTTGCCAAATTTTTGGTAGAAAGTCTCGGTTCTTAGTAAGTGGGCCCGGCATCTGCATGGTGCCGGACAAAAGACGGGATCCTTCCCAGTTCCCGAGGGAATCTGGGGCAGGTCCTGTCAATTAAAATCACAAGTAAAATATGTAATTTCAATCTATCCAAATGATAAGTAAAAGCATGTAATTACAAATCTTGCTAAAATTCATTACATTAAAATCTTGTAATTACAATATATTAAAATCTTAATTGAACACACTCTCCTTATTGTAGCTGTAAATTACCGTTAATTCAGAAAGAAATTAGAAAAACAATTTGTCATATCATGAGGTGTGACTTGAAGGAAGCGCAAACACATGCTAAATAATTAAAAACAAATCCTAGGAAGAAAAAACATTTCCATTAACAAATCCACCACCGCTAAAGACAACCAACATAATCTGCTAAATCATTGAGGGTCATTCACCATATGAATTGACTGCAACACTTGGAAGGAAAAAATGTCTTAAAACAATGAGCAACCAAGCAGAAAAAGACAGCACGCGAAACCTTGAAATAGAAAAAGATTATAAGCAGTGCTTGCTTAGATAGGAGTCCATTTTCATTAGATGTAATGGACGCTACCAAGGATTTGGAGTGAACCAGAAGGTTCGTAGACTGAATAAACCCAAACCAATAATGATGCAGTGTCTCATATATATATGATGCAGATCGTTAGTGTCAGCGAGGGTGGCATCGTAGAATTCATTGCATCTCTGGCATAAAAACAATATCCGATCACGAAATCCGACAATCTCTACCCATCGAGGAGGAGGACTACCATTATTAGCAGCAGCATTATTATTAAACTCCAGCTTGAAAACTTGAAATGCTTCAGCATAATTTGGGGAAAATACAAGCAGCTCTTCAGTATAATTGTCCGGAAAAGTAATCATAAGCAACTCCTTTGATGTAGATAAATCTGTTGCAAGGGAAAGATGACTCTTTTTTATCGTAAATATATGCTCGAACCTCTCACGATCTGGGCCAGGGTCTTCAAGTACAACCAACCTTTTAGCCCTGTATTGGATTTGCTGATGATGATCATGATTATTTGTGGCAAACTGAAACACTATCAAAAACTGCGACGGGTTCTTGGTTGCGGCATATAGCTTCTCATCGATGAACTGTATATCTTCGAAGCTGAGGCCCTCATCAATTCTGGTCCATGATTTATCAGTGGGTCTACAGACCGCCAGCGTCGTCCTTTCAACACCTGTGGAAAGGCAAGCCACAACAGTACAAGATGGGCTTCTTGTGGTTGGTACAGAGGAGGCTACAACTTTACGTATGAAGGGAGCAGTGACCTCATGTTTGCATCGTGGAAGCATCACTCGGCCACCTGAGATGGGATTCAATAAAGTAATGATGGATCCAGTCCAATCAACTCTCATCAACCACCCTTCGATTGACCCAACATATGCATCATACTCATCATCAGTGGGCAGATTTAATTTGTAACGTTTCTCCTCACCATCAGATGTTAAAAACGTCCGACGATGATGAGAGAAAAGCCATGGAAGTTCAGGAGCAGGACGACACCTTGCCCTAACAACAAAGTCTCGCCATGAACGGCATACTGAGCCACACCGAACATAATGTAATATGCATAGCCGTTGTAGAATCGATTGCAGGATATCATCTGGGACATGTTCCGACCACTTGCTGCTGCTGTTGCTGTTGCTATTGCTGCTGCGTATCACCCATTTGTTCCTAATAATTGTATCCGCATCACCCATTTCTTGCTATTGCTGTTGCTATTGCTGCTGCAGTTGCGGATTCTGCTTATACCAGAATTAAACAAAATCTGAGCAAGACTTCTACCGGATGTAAACAAAATGATCTAAACCGTCAAATTAAAAAGCGAAAAGAAACACAGACCATGTCTTTAACCATACCCCGCTCTAACATATTATGTATTTGCATAGCTCCTATTAAAAATTAACTGTTCATACTAACAAAACAATATAGGGATAATATTATTAGTTTATTTTAACTTAAGGGCGGAACCAGGATTTTGTTTTTAGAGGGGTTGGCTAAATTTAATTTTGCAGAGGTGGGTCTGTTGGATTCGGTCCGGTTCCAACCTAGAACCGAAACTGAAACTGAACGATTCATCCGGTGGTGCACAAACATAAGTTCATAACCGATGCGGCCAAAAAAAATCCAAACATAACAAAATAAATACAACCAAAGCAAGCCTAAAACAGATCCAACAATAACAGATCTAAGTATTTTATCCTTGTACAACAATAACAGAGAGAGCGAGAAGGGAGTGTACATAGAAAGATTACAGGTGACGCCAGGGGAAGTGCTTGGGAAAGCCTCCAAAGTTTAAAGCAGGCAGGGCGAAAGTTCCAATCTGGAGATTCCCAGAAGCCAAGGAGAGTGAGAAGGGAGTGTACATAGAAAGAGAAAAAGAGAAGGAAAAAAAGAGAGGGAGAAACAGAAAGAGAAGGGAGGGAGAGCAGAGGAGAGAAAAGGAGAAACGTACAAAATAAAATAAAATATTCGGTGAGAGAGAGTAAGAGGAAGGGCAAGAAGCACTCAAAAAAAAATTCAGAAAAATGTTCCGCAATATTAAAAAAGGTAATGTGGATTGGATGGATTAATTATATAATATTAAGTATTCACTATGACTCCTATGAGGAGAGAGAAAGGATTATTAGTAGATCTTTATAATTAAATGTTATTTTATTTTAATGCTATTTTAAGTATTTATTTAATATTATTATTTTATATGAAGAGGAAGCATTTATGATAAAGTTTAAAAATAAATAAATAAATAAATCAGTTATAATTCCCTAAACTAGATAGCATGATTGAAGTTTAAATTTTATAAGAAGCTCTTAAAATTGCTAAAAATAGCTTTCTAGTTTAGCTAAATTTTAATTAAAAAATAAAGAGCATAATTGTGGATGTTCTAAACCACCTCTACGAATTAGAAAAATATAACTCCAACCATGTTCACTATCCACTTCCTAAATCCGAGAACAGAAACATGACTCATAGCGGCTCTCTTTAATTCAATGTTGCTTTGTTTTATGTATATTTTAAACTTTTGATTAATATTAATTATTTTTTTATATAATTTTTATAGAGATGAACCAATTATATTGAACTAAAAAAGAACTATAGTTTTTGTGTTTTTTTAGCTTGAGGTATGATTGGAGTTCAAATTTTATAAAAGGCTCCTAAAATAGCTATTGTGGTTTTTTAGCTAAAATTTTACTAACAAATAAGGAGCATGTTAAAGAGGTGGACCAAAAAGAAAAACATGTTAACGGGGTGGCATCTCTTATTTTTTTTTATTTTTTTATTTTTTATTTTTTTATTTTTTTATTTTTTATTTTAAACACATGTTAAAGGGGTGGACCAATTAACCCTAGTTCAAACCCAATTTAGCCCCTTCGCAGTTCCGCCCCTGTAGACACGACCTAATCAACTTGGGCTTCATAAGAGAACAAGTTAAGCTAAGAACTAATGATAAATCCCACCCAAAACATATATAAATAAACACGAATAACTAGTAACCGCATTGAATTAAAGTACACAATTTTCAAGCCAGGAAACAACACACATTAAAAAACAAAAATACATATTTCATGGTTCAAATTCAAACTATAAATTATAATTCTATCAATTAAAATTTTTGTCCATACTGCAGATTAAAAAAGGTTCTACAAAGAAAAATACTTACCTGGCCAACGAGATTGTAATTAGATCGAACAGATCCAATGTTACGTGTTGTTTAGTAAGACTAGAATCCTGAATAAGTTTCAAGTGGTGTTTGATTGGGTAAGTCAGGTTGAGTTTATCTTTTCCCATTGTTGTAATTATCACCTACTAGCCCCTACACTTGTGCCAATTCAATGTTTTTAAATTTTATTTTATTTTAAAATTTTAAAAAATAATAGGTACTTGTGTTTTATAAAAATAGGATCTATTATTTATTTTATTTTTAATCTAAATTTTTTTAAATATGAAACCTTATGAATTTACCATATTATCCTCATTTAAATAACAATTTCAATTATTAACGTTTGCAGTAACTATAATTTAAGAGATTGGGTTGACAATTTTTAACCAGGACATGACACAAAGATCGAGGACCAAATCATTCCCAAATATTGTTCAATTCAGAAAAGCAACCTTGTTAGTATACCCCAAGAGGCGGGGAAATATTTTTTTGGCGCCATTAACTTGGGCGACGATAGATGTCGTCGCAAAAGATCTCTTTGCGCGACAACAGCTTATGGCGTCGCGCAAAAATGAAAAAGGCGGTTTCTAGGGAATGGCGGCAAATTCTTGCGTGACGAGAGAACTTGTTTGTCACGCTAACTTCCGACGACGAACTGTTTTCGTCACGCAATTTGTAATCTTCAGCGATGATAATTGACTTTGCGCGTCGAACACTTAAGGGACGAAAAATAATGTAGTCGTCGCGCAAAGTTCGATGTTGGCAGTACCTTGCGCGACGCAAAGAGGAATATTGCGCGACGAAGTTTGCACGACGAATGATTATTTTTGTCGCGCAAATTGTTAATATTTTGCGCAACGACTATTTCGTATTAGCGCGACGAATCAGTATTCGTCACGCAAAGCTTCGTCCTCTACATTATCGGTTTCAGCCATTTCAGAGGCAAACTGCAAAAAAATTGCAACTTGCCTCTCTCTCACTCTTGAACGATTTCAGCAAAAAAAAACTTGTCAATTTCATTTGGTTTATGAGTTGAACTACCTCCACTTCTGCTACGTTCGTTGGGTATGTATTTTTTGTCGTTAGTGTAAAAGTTTTCCTGTAAATTTATACTGACACCGTTAATTTTGTTGTCTATAGGAATATTATATGTGATTAGCGATTATTGGAGAACGATTGATAAGGTATTTTCGTCGTTTTATAATTTAAAAATATAAATTTAATTACATTATGTTTAAATTGTTTTGTGAAATTATATTTATATTATATTGTTACATTCATGCACGTTGATGTGCGAAATTAATTGAAATTAACTTTGTATATATATTTTTTAAGTTAAACTTAGTTTCCCGTTCGAGGTTAGTTGGATTTCGCGCATGGATGCTAAAGCGTGACTACGGTCCAATTAATTCTTGAATTGTCCCATTATTTGGACAGTTTGGGAATGCATAGTTGTGTCACGTAATTTACGGCTACATGATTAGATTTCGATTTTGGAGATTTCGGTGTCATCTCGGTACGTCCTTCGGGTGGTAATAGGTATTTTATACCTATGGTACACCTCAAGAACTGTGTCGAGATGCTGCCGAAATTCATCCACATCGAAATCTAATCTCATGTAGCCGTAAATTATGTGATATGACTATGCATTCCCAAATGGGATAGGGCCCTTACCAGAGGCATAAGGTGACATTATGATTTTGTACGAATACAGTATGATTGTTGTATTGTGATTGTGGTTCCATGAATTATGAGCAGGAGGTGGATACAGAACCCGAATAGGTGTGCAGATGAATATTTGGATGGAATTGAGGATTTTATTGACTTTGCACGGACACACAACCCGGGTGCAACTAGAATCCGTTGTCCTTGTCGGAGGTGTAACAACACGTTGTGGGAGACAATTGAAAATGTTCAATTTCATTTGGTAAGGAATGGAATGATTGAGACATATAGCACTTGGACCTATCATGGGGAACAATTAGACATTGCTTCTTCTTCAAGGGCCACAAGAGTGGAGAATGTTGAACCTATTGTGGATCCGAATGAACAAGTCATGGATATTTTGAATGATGCTTTTCCATTTGCATCGACCAGCAGCAATCAGGCGAGGTGCGAGACAGTATGAAAAACTGTTACAAAATGCCAACCGAGAGTTATACCCGGAGTGCAAGAAATTTTCTGTTCTGACGGCCATTGTGGAGCTAATGCACGGAAAAATAAAGTATCGTATGTCGAACTTGTGTTTCGATTACTTTTTAGGGGTTTGTAAGAGAATGCTTCCGACAAACAATTGTTTGCCGAAAGACCACCGACAGGCGCAGAAGGTGTTGAATGGTCTTGGATTGGGTTATGAAAAAATTCATGCTTGCAAAAACAATTGCATGTTATTCTACAAAGAGTATGAAACATTAGATACATGCCCTATGTGCAATGAGTCGAGGTTCAAAACAACATCTCAGAATAGAATAACTAAGATCCCACAAAAAGTCATGCGTTATCTGCCCTTGAAACCTAGGTTGCAGCGATTGTATATGTCGACGCATACTGCCACAGATATGAGATGGCATAAGGAAAAATGGGTAGATGACGATGTGATGTAGCATCCTGCAGATGGGGAAGCATGGAAAGAGTTCGATCAAACGTTCCCTAAGTTTGCTGCTGATCCCCGAAATGTTAGATTGGGACTTGCCACTGACGGATTCAATCCGTACAGGGTTCTAAACCAACACCATAGCACTTGGCCGATTTTTGTATTCCCGTATAATTTGCCGCCTTAGAAGTGCATGAAAAAGGAATATATGATGATGACTATTTTGATAACTGAGGATCCCGGCAGGTCAATCGATGTTTACTTACGGCCGTTGGTTGATGAGCTCAAGGATTTATGGACAAACGGTGTGCGTACATACTATAAATCCACTAGGAAGATGTTCACTTTGCGGGCAGTAGTTATGTGGACTGTGAATGATTTTCCCGCATATGCAATGGTTTCTGGGTGGAGCACGAAAGGTTATATGGCATGCCCTGTATGCAAAGAAGATGTGACTTCTAGAGAGTGGTCCGGTGAAGAAATCTTAGAACAGCTTAACCGTTTGGATTTTGCTCCGTTCGGGAAAACAGTTAGTCGGATCAGACCTGCTACACATATGAATTGGACGCACAAGTTTATGTTTTTTAAGCTTCCATATTGGTCGAAACTAACATTGAGGCACAATCTCGACGTTATGCATGTTGAGAAAAATGTCTTTGACACATTGATGGGCATGATTCTAGATATCAAGGGGAAAACAAAGGACACGATCAAAGCTCGTCTAGATTTGGAAAAAATGGGCATACGAAGGGGTTTATGGATGAAAAGGGACGGTCATAAAGCTAGAAGGGATCTTGCATTTTTTTCCATGAAACCGAATGACAAAAAAGAGTTTCTAAAGTTTGTGTCGACTGTAAAGTTTCCTGACGGGTATTCTTCTAATATCGCACATTGCGTGAATGTTGACGGGGGTAAATTTACTGGACTAAAGAACCATGACTGTCATGTCTTTATGCAACGCCTACTTCCTGTGGGGATTCAACACCTATTGCCAGAAGAATCGTGTTGTTATCCAAATTTTTTTCCTAACTATCGGCAAAAACGTTGCGAAGGACAGACATTAATCAGTTGCGCCATGACATTGTCCCCAAGTCCTATGCAAGTTTGAGATGATATTCCCTC